GATAAATTATTTCTGACATTATCCAACAAAATATTTAATGACTAAAATGATTAAAATCTTATGCGCTACATAATATCGATACATTCATAAATCATGAATGTTGCTTACACATGTCAATAGTTATTGCATTCCAAACCCTTTTTCTATTTAAAATTTTTTAACACTGCATCCACTCGTGATAAGACTGATTTTCGATTCTATTAAAATCACTCAAACTTTCGTTTATTAAATTAAGATTTTGCAGTTGGACCGTATAATTGAATTATTCTCAAAGCATTATGTCAAGGAAATTAATAATAAATAATAAAAGGTTCGAAAGTCATTTTCTTATTAGTTTTTTAATAACTAATTCATAAATTAAATTTTTAAATTAATTTTTTAACTTTTTTAGTTGATAATATTATTAAGTCAATAAATACAAAATAACAATTTTATTATTATTTTAATTTAAATTGAATTAAAATAATAATTTTCTAATTATTTATTTTAAATACACGAATATTAATTAAAGAAATTACTACTTTGATTTTTCTCTTTTCCCTTTTTACTGCTTTACTTTAATTACTAATTAATTTAATAAACTACTCAAACCAAAAAAAAAATTAATTAATTTATAACGTAATAATGAGCAATTTAATAATAACAAAACAATTTACAATGAATTAATTAACAAATAAATTAGTACTTTTAATGCTTCTATAATTGAAAATCCCTAATTATTTGTAATTAATATTTCTTACTATTGACATTTAATTTCCTAACTTTTTGTTGTCATTAATAAATATTAATATTATATTAATTTTATTTTAATAATTAAAAAATTATTTTTTAGTTAGGTATTATATTTAATTATTTAGTCATTAATATTAATAATAATAAATAAATATTAACAAAACGAGACAAATAAAAAAATTTTATATTATTTTACTATTATTTATACTATTTTATTACCTAATATTATAATTTTCAATTATAACCATTAACTTTATTATTAAGAAAATAATTCCCGTAGTGTAACCTTCTTCTTCACTTCTTTTTTATTCCAACTTCCGGAATAACAGAATTCAACATTAAAATATGAAACAATTGAGATTTCTAAATGAAATAAATAATTGTAATGAATTTCATTATTTCCGCGATCTTGCGCAAAAAAAAAACTTGTACGTATATATATATATATATATATATATATATATATATATATATATATATATATATATATATATAAAATAAATCCTCTCGTTAGGTTGATTGTTAATGACAATTATTCCCATTGAAAGAATCATGTGCATTGTCAATGCACAAAGTCGAACAAGGATGCAGATTTCCTTTATCACGGACTTTATGCACAGTAAGAAAATATTTTATGTCTCGCTAAGTGAAATAATTAGTATAATAAAACCAAACTCAAATTTACTAATTAAGTAGTAATATAAGAATTAAGTTTCAAGTTTTATTTTTCAACTGTATTGTTTAGAAAAAGAATTTTTTTTCCAATTATGCATCATTATATCTGATACAGGGTCGTCTCGCTGAATCTGAGTTAATCGTCAAAATTATCATTTTTATTGTTTGTACAATACAAAAGTTTGTAAATAAAATTAGTAAATAAATTATTTATTATTAAAATATGATAAAATATTAATATCGATATAAATATTTATATCATTTAACAACAAAACCAAATAAAATATATTCGAACTAAATAAAATTTATTTGAAACAAACAAAATTTATTGCAACTAATTAAAATTTATTTGAACCAAAGAAAATTTACTTGTAATAAATAAACTTCTATTTGAATCAATAAAAATATATTGAAACCAAATAAAAAATTTTTTATCAGAAAAATGTTTTATTTGAATGAGAAAAAATTTATTCCTAAAAAAATTCATTCCTAACAAACTAAACTTTACACGAAATAATAAAAATTGGTTTGAACCAAATAAAATACATTCGAACTAAATAAAGTTTATTTGAAATAAACAAAATTTATTCCAACTAAGTTAAAATTTGTTTGAACTAAAGAAAATTTATTTGTAATAAATATAAACTTCTATTTGACTGTGAGACAAATATTAATGTGCACAAATAACTAATTAATGCAATTAATTTTAACATTAATTAATAATTAATATTAATATTAATAATTTGATCAAATAAATTTTTTTTTCAGTGTATTATCATTAATACTTATTAATAATATATTATTATTAATACTTATGAATATATTATTATTAATAATTACTCGAATAATTATAATGAATAATATTATATTATTAGTAATAATAAACGAAAAATGTTGAAATGAAAAAAATGCGAAAATTCTCAACGATAAAACTTGTAAAAAAACATCAGTGAAAACGAAGTTTTTCCCATTTTTTTTATCTTTCCTTTTTTTGCAGATATAAATTCAACTTTTATGTTTCAAGAAAGATTTTTATCGTCAAAAGAAACGGAACAGTTATTGTTAAGAATTATATATTATCTATTCTGAGTACATCTCACGTTTTTTTCTCTGAATTCTAATAAAGTCAGATTTACCTCTAGGTCGAACGAAAGTTTCACCCTTGATTATTCATTAATTGCTTAATTAATTAATTTTGAAAAAAGAATTTTTATTTATTGTTCCTAAAAGTCCTTCGTTGTATTCTCAAATTATTTTGTATTTTATTTCATTCATTTTTCAATCATTATTATTTATTTTATTTTTATTTTCTCTCTAAATTTGAATTAGTAAAAATGTTGACTAATTTGACTTAGTGATTGTCTTCTTGCTTTTGAATTAGTAAATTTTACTAATCAATTACTAAAATGACTATTTATTAGAACATTTATTTATTAGAATTAGTAAATTTTACTTAATAAATTAGTAGAAATTACTATTTATTAGTAAATTTATTCATTAGAATTAGTAAATTTTAGTAAAACGTAAAAAGTCAGTCACAAATTCAAATTTAGAGAGTTATTTTTTTAAATTTTATTTGTTATATTAACTTTTATTTATATTCAGGCTTAGTACTCGACAATTAATTTTTTAAAAAAACTTTTGAAATTTAATTACTTCTAAAAATTAACTCTATAACGCTTCTAATATTCAATTATTATCTAAAATTGTAACTGAAATTCAATTTTAAATCAATTCTTATTAGAAAGTTCTACGATAATTTAATTATTTTAATAAAAAATAAATAATTTTTTGAATAATCGAATATTTTTTTAAAAATTGAATTCTTGTAAAGAACTGTATCAAACTTTTTTAAAATAATTGAATTCTTTAGAAGAATTTTCATAAAATTTTTAAGAATAATTGCACTTTTCGAAGAATTATGTCTCTTATGAAAATAATTGAATTCTTGAGACGAATTTTATTAAATTTTTTTTAAATAATATTGAATTCTTTTGGAAAATTTTATTGAAATAGAAAAATATTGAAAATAATTGAAATTCGACAAATTTTTGAAATCAAGTAAATTTCTATGAAGAATTTCATTTAAATAATTTGAAAGGAATTAAATTGTTTGTTATATACGCGAAAACAAACTTTATCTGAAACAGCGAAAATTTTCTCCAGAATAGCGAAAGTATTAATTGATTAATTAAAAAAATATTGAAAATAATTATTAAATTCTAATAAACAAATTATTTCAAATTTTTTTTAAATAATTGAATTTTTTTTTGAAGAATTTTAATACAATTTTTAAGAATAATTGCATTTTTCGTGAAATTTATTTAAAATTAGAATTAAAAGTAATTGAAATCCTACGAAGAGTTTTATTATCGTTATGAAAATAATTGAATTTTTGCAACGAATTTTATTATTAAATTTGTAAAAATTAATTGAATTTCTGAGAAAAATTTTATTATTTAAAAAAATAAAATTGAATTCCAGGAAAGAATTTTATGAAAATCTTTTTAAATAATTGAATCTTCCTGTGAAAATTTTATTATATTTATGAATATAATTGATTGTTTGCAAAGAATTTTATAAACATTTTTTTTAAATAATTGAATATTGTTTTCAATTTTTTTTTACTAAAAAACTTATTGTACTTATTGAAAATAATTGAATTTCGAAAAAGTTTTGAAAATAATTGAACGGTTTGAAAGAATTTTATTAAAATTTTTGAGAATAATTTTATCATTTTGAATTATACTATCAGTTTTGACTAATTTTTAGTAGTTTTCTACTAAGTACTACTAAAAAAATTACTAATTCGTTAGTAAGTCGTTTTACTTATTATTTCAAACTAGTAAGCAGACTTACTACATGAATTAGTAGTTTTCTGATAGTAAAAATTTATTAAATTATAATAATTAATTTAATAAAAATTTAGTAGGTATATAAATAAATCAGTAGAAAACTACTAAAAATTAGTCAAAACTGTTACTAATTCAACTGGTAATCGAATCCACATAATTTTATTAGTAGAAAACTACTAATTCAGATTAAGAGAGTAGAAAAAAAAGTAGGTAGTTTTTAGTGACAGAAATTTAAAAAAAGTATCAAAATAGTAACAAATCGCAAAAAAAGTACTAAATAGTAGATTTTAGCAAATGAGTACAAAAATCATCTACTAAAACCTACTATAACCTACCATTTACTACTTTTTTTACGATTTTCTACTGTTTTTCTACTTTTTTTTGTATATTTTATAAATCATACCCTTTTCGTTTATTAAAATATTAATCATACCCGCAATCGCAAATATAATTATCATCCTTATCTTTTTTCTCACGTGCACTCTCAAGGTCACGAAGCGATGTTATCATTCGGTACGCCGGATTTCCGGCGTAGAAGGGAAGATTTTCTCTCGGTTTTTTTTTTATTCTTTTTTTTTTTTTAATTCTTTTCCCCAAGAGGAGAGACACTCAAAGCAAGGTCAAATTGTTCCTCGTTCGAGAGGAGGGCAAGGATCACCTTGACCGTGAAAGAAACTGTCAGGATCGTTGATTGGCGGGGGTCCTCAACGACCTCCGACGCCGACATATAAGTCCCAGTACCGACTCCCACCTTGCTTCAAACAGATCAAGCTCCTCTGACAACGTACTTACTGATTTTACTTTACTTTTACATTTACAACAATATATACACACATATATAACATATATATACAATTCTTACTCTCTCGCCTACCTTCAGAGCGATCTTTTACCCACCCCTTCTTCTTATTCGAGAATTGTAAGCAGCGCGGTAATTCGAACATTTTACAAGACTACCGCGCTAGTTGTTGGCCGACTTGTCCGGCGAACGGAAACAGCCGTCTCGCAAAAAACACCTTTTTTTCCTGAGGAAGAAGACTGCGTTTTAACGCGCAAATTAACGAAATGAAATTCGTAAGTGAATTTTTTCTACAAAAAAAAAAAATTATAAAATTTGTGAACGCGAGTGTTTTTTTTTCTCTCTCGACCAATATAGTGTGTTTTTTTTGGAAAAAATTTTCTTCATTATATTCATGTAATTGACGACATTTTTTTTTTCTGTTTTACGAATTCATTTTTTCATTTGTTTTCCAAAATGAAGTTTAGTGCTATTATTTTTTTCATTTTCCGGAATTTGTACATTTGAGGTATTGTATGTGGATTAATGTTATTCTCATCCTCTCGGTAAGCTATCGTTATCATCATCAAAATGAAATTTTTCCTAAGTCATCAATCAAATTTTTTTTAATTCTCTAAATTTTAATTTGTATTTTAATAATTTTGCTGATATTCAGCAACTGAAAATTTCCACTAATAATTTCCACTGAAATTTCAGTCATGTTTCACTATTAATTGATTATTAATTAAAATAATTAATTATATAATTAATTAAAACTCTAAAATTAAATTATCGCAATTAATAGTGAAGTTGTAATTAATTATAATTAATATTACAACTATTAACTAATTAAATCAGTTATTAATTGTAAATTTAATTAATTATTTATTATTAAAATGCAAAAAAGCTATTTGATATTTTTATTTTTTAATTGTAATGGCAGAATTTCTAGCGACAATTTAATTTAATTTAATTTGTTATGAACATTAAATTTTAAATTAATTTAATTAACTATTTGTTACTAAAATAAAAAAGCAAATTGATTTTTTGTTTTTAATTGTAATGGCAGAATTTCTATCGACAATTTAATTTAATTTAATTTAATTAGATACTAAGACTAAATTTTAAATTAACTTAATAAACTATTTGTTATTAAAATGAAAACGCACATTGATTTTTCGTTTTTAATTCTAATGGTGGAATTTCTCGCTACAAAAATATAACTTTCACAAAGCAGCTATAAATAAATATTAATTAATTATTAATTTAATTTATTTATAGCACTTTTTTCATGTCTTTCAACTTTGAACGTCCATCGGGAACAATCCTTACATTAATTAATTATTAAGTAATTAATTAATTAATTCTTAATAATGTTATTAATATTACTAATTATTTTATTATTAATTATTATTAGAAACAGTTTTTTAGTGAAATATCACTGAATTTCTCTGGAAATTATTACTGAATTACTTTAGTTGCAATTACAAGTATTTTGATTATAATTATTCTTTATTTTAAATAATTAATAATATCTAATTATAATAACTACATAATAACTACAATTATTAGTTAGATTTATAATTAAAAATTATTATTATTAATTTTTAACCACTGTGAGATTTTAAATAAATAATTCTACATTGAAAAAAAAACTTATTTGATTCAATTAACCAATTACTTGTCTATTATCAAATAAATATTTACTTGAATCAACTAATTTTTATTTAAATCAATTAAATGTTATTTGCTTCAAATAAAAATTATTTGATTCAAGTAAATATTTATTTGAATCAAGTAAATATTTATTTGAAACAAGTAAACATTTATTTGAATCAAGTAAATATTTATTTGAATCAAGTAAATATTCATTTAAATCAAATAATGTTTTTTCAGCGCATAATTAAAATATTGTATTCAATTAAAATATTTTAAATACAATTATAATTTTAATTGTAATTTATAAATTTATCATATTTTACATAATTATAATTTATAATTGCATTTTACATAATCAAAATATAATTATAATTTACAATTACATTTATACATTAAAAATTAATTTAAATAATTAATTTAAATATAAGTACGCACATTTATAATCAGATTCTAAAATTCTCGTCCACATTTGCAAGATGATAATAATCGTTTTCATTGTGAAAATAAATTTCACTTTTCGAACAAGGGTTGTTTGTGGATATATATATATATATATATGTATATATAGAGCAACGATTGTAAATTCCACCATAAACCATAACAATGCATCTTGAGGTGTTTAATGCACTTTACAACCAAAGATAACACTCGAAACTCTGTTATCCTACTTGTGAATTCCACGAACGTTCGCATAACAATTTTATTTAATTATACCTACAACCGTGTAAATTTAATGACACCCCAAGTAGGTGTATACTCGGCAAGTTAAAAATTAAAATTTAAAATGCGAAGAAAAAGAAATAATTAAAAAAAAAATAATATTCAAAAGATAAAAGTCATATCAAAGAATTTCCCATTAATGATCAATTGCGAAAATTTCATAAATTCATAATTCTTATTAATTATAACATATATTCATGTATGCATTTAAAAAAAAAAACATGATTATTGTTCACTGAAAGTGATTTCATTGCTAATTACATTTTTTTTCTAATTACCTCGTGGTTTGATTGTAATTAAGACATCGTTTTAAATGCAATTAACAATAGAGATGTCGAATTGTCTTTAAATATAATTATTAAGGTTTAATTCGTCTTTTCTATTGTTACTATTTATGTTTAATTTTTATTGTACAATAATATTGTGAATCGATAAATATAATTATTTTTCTAATTTTTTTCCCACAATATCAATAAATATAAATTATTTTTCTCATTTTTTTGTACAATAATTCAGAATCGATAAATATTAAAAAAACAAAACGATAATAAAAATGATAATAATAAACAAACGATAATAACAAATAAATGGTAACAATTAATTCGTTTTTTCAATAATTATTAGTTTGATAATAAAAATATCAATTATATTACTATTATTATTAATAATATTGTTAATTAATAGGAATTAAAAATTAAAATACTAATAATAACAATATTATTAACAATACTCATAGTAATTAATACTAAAACAACGATAATAACAAATAATTATAAATTGCACAAAAAATAATGTCAATTCGTTATTATGATCGTCAATCAAAACAATTATATACTTTTTAATTGCTAATAATAATGCTACTCGAGAGGAATCGTTAGAAAATCTTTATTAATATAATAAATGCGGAAGGAAATGGAAATTACTTGGAAAAAAAATTGTAAGAATTTATACAATAATCATAACAATAAAAAATCACCAAATTAATTAACAAAGCTATAAAAAATAAATTAACATTTTTTTCACTCAATTCTATACTCAATATCGTTTGAAAACTATAATATTTGAATTTTTCTTCTCTAAACTTTTTCACCGAAAAAAAATTGATTACGAAATTTTATTTAGTGTTTTCAACAATTTGTCATTTAATTAAAAAGAAAAATATTTTTCTACAATAATTACTTTCATTATTTTTTATTATTATTTAAATTATTAATTATATCTACCTACTAATTTTAAAAATTAATAATAATGTTATTTATTCTAAGTACAAAATTTTCGTTTTTCATCGCATTTTCTCTAAATATTGTAAAAAATATTTTTATAAAATTCAATAACTATTTTTTTTCATTATTCAAAATATACAAAGAAAATTATTGTTTAAACGCAAATGAAAATTTATTTCCTTCTGATAAAAAAATTTTTTTCTTTCCCCTAGTGTAGAATAATGAGAAGAAATGGTATTTACAGTTATCTAATTACTGCTAATTAACTAAACTTTTTTTTTTAATAAAAAAGTTATTAATATTATAAAATTAATCATTCTGAAAATAGTAATAATATTATTAACATTATTATTATTATTATTATTATTTTATTATTATTTTTATTATTAATTATATTTATAATACTTTTAAATGATTGGATTTAAACAATTATTTGAATATGTTTGAAAAATAAATAATCAATAAAAAAGATACTTAACCCGTTTATTTGTTAAATAAATAAGTAAATGATAAATAATAAAAATAAAAAATATAAAAATCTGTCGTACAAATATAATTTTCTCTCAAAGAAAAAATCGAACCGATCTTAAGAAAACTAAACAAACACTAAAATGGAAAAAACATTTTCTTTAAATTCGATATTCATTAAAAATTCAACTTCTACTTTTTTCAGAAGTCTTTTCATTACTTAATCACAGGAATGAGCTTTATTGTCGTTAAATTGACATAATGTAAAATATGAGTGCATTGCCATACGCTAACAAGTTGACAAGAGGGGGGGAGGGGTGGTTATTTAAATAATACATATATTATATATATATATATATATATATATATACAATATACTTGATCACTGTTTATATATACACCTCACTTTGAACTGTCCATTACTGCTTACTCAACATAAACCTCATTCGATTCACTGGTCCTGAGGCGTTAGGCGCTCATAAAATGAAAGATTTTATGATGTTAAAATAGAATTTATAACTTTATTACACTAGACGCCTTAATTATTATGTTTTACACTCTTGGATAAAAAGCATAAATTGCATTTTGATGTACATTTAATTTCTAGATCCGCTATATACTAAACGAAGAGAAAAAAAAATTAAAATAAATAAAAACACGTGACATTTTTATTTTAACGTAATCACAAAACGTTCAATGTACATACATTATACTTAAAGAAATTATGTATATAGATTTCGCAAAAAAAAGAGAGAAGTATGTATTTAAAAAGTTTTTTCTTTCTCTCTCTCTTAATACATAAAAATGGAGAATTTATTATGATATATTTTTATTTTTGAAATTTTTGCTATAAAAAAACTGTTATACACAGAAAATTTAAAAAATAATAAAAAATGTGTAGAGTTAGAAAATGATTTATCTTGAGAAAAATTTTTTTTTTATTCTGTAACAATTTTAAAGATTTTAAAGAAACATTTTAGAAAATTCTAATTTTAATTGGAATTTGATTTTTAAGACACTTAATTTTCAAAAAATTTTATTGGCAAAGAATTTTAGTGGAACTTTATTGATTTTTTTTTTATTTTTATTGATTTTGTTTTTAAAGAATTTTATTTACAAAGAATTTTAATTTTAAAGAATTTTATTTTTAAAGAATTTTACTTTCAAAGAATTTTAATTTTAAAGAATTTAAATTTTAAAGAATTTTTTCTTTTTTAAAATTTGAT